TTTAATTCATGAGACTCGATCTGGGGGGGTGGCTATGATCAAAGCAACACTCACCCAGAGTAAGCACTCCTTTGCATAGCAGCCACCAGTGTACAAGCCTGTGGGTAAGCAACTACTCCCACTGCGAAGATCATAACATCTAAACTCACCTTGGAAAATTAAGTTCAAAATGCAATCATCCTTGGTGCCTTGGTGGGCCCATCTGAAGGACTCACCAAGATCAACATGTTCTCTTACAGTAATTGTTTTACACCTATCATAAATGTTCTCGATCAAGCTATATGAAACACACACCTATGAAGCCTAACATTATAACTTCATTGACCAAATTCAACCCTGGATCACATCCCCTTCCACCATAGGGACTCGCCTCTTATTTCTAGGGAGTCGCCTTTATAGATTGACCCTATATTTTAGATCCCAAAGACTTTCTAAAGTCGCTCAATCCTAAAGACTCACCCAAGTTAGTTGCCCAATATTTTTCTATTTATTCTAGGTGTAGCATTTGTTGTAGCCCTTTTAACCCTATGAATAAGAGATGAAGATGAATGATTTAAATTTTATGTTGTGAAGATTAGTTACAAAGATCATGATCTTTTGATTTACTTTTTAAAGTCAATAACTTCCCTCACTTAGTTCTCTAACACTAATCAATATGGATTTATTATGAGGTCGGGTATCAACCACAAATAAATTTAGATTCAATATCCTCTAAGGTAAAGTGAGTGTGGATTGATATCAGTGACCACAAGACATGTACACAAAAAAAAAAAGTAGAATTAGGAGTCATCAATGGATTTGGAGAATCAAACCTACACTACCCACCATATTTTGTTGGAGATGGAGAGTTGAATCACCAAAATGATCTAAGAGCACTAAAGCTAGCTCTGATAAATGACCTAAGGGTGAGTACCTTTTAAGGTTAGTTTAACTTAGCACCCAATTGGACGAGACCCGTGACTAGAGAACTAACTTTAATGCCTTCTAACAATCTGAGAGGCACCACTCCCCTCTCTACTCAATACCACCGTATGAAGCACTTACTAACCAAGAATTGGCTCAATATATGTAATTTTAAATGTCAGCGAGTCACCATCTCCCCCGCTTTAAGCTATGGGGCCTCCCTATGTAACACAGAGGTGTTATGCCCTAGAATATAATTTGAAATAATTATTTCTTTTATTTTTTAATAATAACAATAATAAGAACTATCTATTTTTTATCAATAGTATAAATATCATCAAAAACAAATTTATTGATCAAAACATCAATATACATCTCTATTCATACTTCAAAAGTTATATGTAATAACTAGGAGTCCTACAAATACAAAACCCTCTTTTCACTCATGATTATAAAATAATATCTACAGTAAAAAAGAAACAAACAATAGTAAAACTTGAGGAATCTTGTTACAAATCAATTTCACAATCCCAATCTTCTTCAGTTTCACAATCTGAATCCTCTTCCCTAACCTAAAATCATTTAAATCATATATACTAAGCTAAAAGGCTCAGCAGATGACTAAATCCTACAATTGAACTTAAAGCATGATAAAGAAGTAGTATACATGGCATTCGTTAGTTCATAATAGCAGCAGTCAATATGATCATAAATATGCAAAAAAAGAATAGTAAAACACATGCAATGACAGTAAAATATATAAACTAGTATATTACAAAGGACAATAAAATAGTGTAGTAAAGAAATATTGAAATCTATAAACAAGCAAACCAATAAATCAATATGCATGTCCAATCAATAAAGTCGTAAATAATCCTTCTTGAATCATACTTCTTACAAATACTATCAAGTCAATAAGAAAATCATATAAATTAATAAAATTTAATAATCTATAAAGACTGTCGAAATCTATAGCAATATAGTACCATTAGGAAATTATATAAGAGTATACACATAATATTCAATTATTATATATCAAACTCAAATCAATATCTATATCACATGCTCAGTCATAAGAACCATGTGCTTAAGAACAATGAATCAATAATAATAATATTGATAATGAATTAGTAGCAGTATCAGTAACATTTTTTATATCAATAAAATAGGTGGCAATAATAGTAAAATAATAAAATAACAATAATAGTAATCAATACAATAATAAAATAATATATTGGCAGCAGTCCAATAATAATTAATCAGTGCGATAACATGTATTCTAGTAATCACACTAAATAAGTAATAAGTTATAGCTTGTGTAATATTTTTTCAATAGGTGGTAATTAATAAGTTATCAACTATTAGCTTATAAATAAAGTTGTCACTCTTGGTCCGTTGGCACAATAATAACTTTTTATATCTCTCAATTAGTGAATCACATAAATTAATAAAGGATAAAACTAAAACACAGTATCTAATGGAAAGTCCATCGACCCATCATCTTATATAGGTCGGTCAATTTTCAACCAACGTTAGTAAATCAATGTTTTCACATATTATAATTATAATATTATAAAAATAATAGTGACCAGCTATTACCTAATCACATATCAATATTCAATCACAATGCTTGTATCAATAGTATGCTTATAGTAAAATATCAAAATTATTATTATATACAAATAGTACAAAATGTAATAACTTTTATTTTACCCCGTAAATTTATAAAATCAAGTAGTCAAAATGTCCAGAATAAGCATTATTATAACATACAAAAAGTTATGAGATAGAAGTTCCCTAAATTCAAAGAAAATACAATAAAATCAATTTGAAAGAAATCGAGCGGTCAAAATTAAAATCTTTTAAAATAATAATAGGATAAAACACATACCACAATTTGAAGAATTTTTGTAAAAATGACAAAATAAATCGGTGACCAAAATCTGAATTTCCTTTTGCTCTCTCCTCCTTTTCCATCTGCCTTTTTCTTCTTCTTATGTTAATTTCCTTCTCATGCAAATCGGCGTGAGGGAGTGAGTGGAGAGTTGAGTAGAGGAAAATACATATAAAAACATATTTTAGTTCGTAGCGCCGAAACGCTGTATGCTGAATTCAGAATTACTGTAGAATAGAGCCTTCAATGTCGATGTGGCTATTTCTAGCACCACTGCACTCACAGGCCCAACGATGCAATGTTCACAAGCTCAGCATCGCAACGCTCCAGCTGAAATAGAATTTTTTTTTTTTTTTAAGATTTTTTTTAGGTTGTTACAAGTGGTCTCCGGTTGTTGAACACACCTTCTCCAAGGCTTCGTTTCTTCTCTCAAACTAGACATAGGTGCCGAAAAGCTCCTCTCCCAAGGCACAAACATGTTAGGTTAGAGCATCCATATAAGATGGCCCCAGCCCAAGGATCTCAACACCATTGCCACAAGCAGGAAGAGTGAGCTTACAAGTTGTTGGATTCATCAAAGGCAAAGCAATGAGGAATTACTAGGCTTGGGACGACTAAACTAGTAAACTTTCTCCTTCACATACTCTCTCTCTCTCTCTCTCTTAGGCATCGACCTTCATTATTGAATGAGTTTCTATGAAGGTTAAAGTGCGGTGACCCACTGTGTGTGTCATAAGTTTCATGTCACCACTAGAAAGATCTAGCATCACCCATGAATAAATTTAATTCCAATAAGCAAACAAAAAATTCATATTAGAATTAAGTTTTGATGATAAAAAAGATCATCTATGGACATACATATTGAAGAAAAATTATAATACTTGAAAATGTGATGCTATAGATATGATCATATTGATAGATAAATTACTAATGATATATACTATGAATGCTTAATCTTCAAATAAGCTGTTTCATTTCTTTAAAAAAAAAAATCAATCTATGAATTATACCGTGAATGCCTTCTAAATTATTGTTTGCTATGTGATAATATTGAAAGATCAAAGAGTTTATCAATGTAATAGTTCATCATTATTAATGAATAATTAATCAGCTTCTCCTTTGTCTTCTACTATTTTCTATTATGGAATAATCTGATACTTTTTTTCCAATCTTTTTATGTTCTTGGATAAGGAGAATCAAACTGCAAGCCATACAAACAAAATCATAACCAAAGTAGGAATCAGCTCTCCAAATTTCAACTAACTTCAACAGGAAAAAACACAAACAGTTTTAAGAGAATCCCTACTGCAATATAATGAAAAAAAAATCTTATCATTTCTTCCATAAATTATTATATAGCACATTATATTCCCGGTTATGTTTGACATAGTTTTTTTATTATTTTTTAAAACAACTTTCTAGCAAAAAAAATTAATATTTATTTTTATATAAAAACTTACTTTAAGACGCAATAAAAAAACCGTTTCGCCTCAAACAAAGCCTAGTTAATGCTACATTTATTATCCTGCAAAAAGAATGAGATCCCAAAATCTACTATGCTACCAATATTTCCACCAGCTTCAAGCTTCTTAAACCCATAACAAAGATAACACAGCCATCTATCTATCCCCCCACTAAGGTTACTATTAGAATCTAACTCTAGTTTCCAAATCAAATCACAACAATCTACCAAATTGCCTAGCCAGCTACTAAAGCTTGAAAATTGCAAAGTGGTATTACAGTACTAGGAGAAATTGAACAATAAATAGCTGAGAATTAGTTCAGAAACTTCTCTCATAACAACTAAAAAGACAAAAAACAAAGAAGAGAGAACAACTGCAGAGCAACCATCATATTTGTGTATTACAGTTGCAAAACAGTAGATATTTCTGTTCAAACAGAGCAAATGGCAAGCAGATGCTTGACAAGAAGCAAAAATGATATCATATGTCATCTCAACATCATATAAACCATGCTTTAAGGTTTTTTACTCCTTATTAAAACAGCTTTATAATACACAAATTAAATTTTTTTTACTAAAAAGCTGCTTTAATAAGCAATCCCAAACAAGCCTAAATCAACTGACATGAGATTGCAAGTTACAACATTGATGATACTGAAAAGCCAACCACAATGTAGCTGCCTCAAATGAGAAAATTGAAGCATTCCATCTCTTCTTGAACCAAAGGCAAACTTGAGAAGCTAACGGTAACATAAGATGAGATTAAAGTTGAAAGGGGGCAAGAAGCTCTTCTACCCAAATGAAGCTTAATATATAGATGTTATAGAAAGTTTCATGGATAGGAACAAAAAAAATCGAACATGTTAGGGGAGTAACTGTTCCAGGTAGTCTTTCAATTGACCCAGAAACTAGATTCTCCCATTCGTTTACCTGTCTAAACGCATCAACTAAATAACTAATAATACAATTTTTTTACGAAAATGAATGACTAAATTTTCCTCCAAACCCATCTTGACTAACCATTCATTCCAAAACAAAAAACAAAAAAATATAATATTTACTAAGAATCATTTGCTGCTACGAACAGCAAAAGGGAATTCATGCTTCAGTTAAACCACCATCTGATCCAGCTGCATTTTATCCAACCAAGCTCCGAGTAAAGAAGCTTGATCATGACTATCTATCTGATCACCTGAATCATCTGCAGATGCAACAGGATCCATATTCGAAGGTGCAACCATGGTTGTAGCAGCAGCTGGTTTATCTGGTGGCGATTCCTTTACGAGTGAATTAACCCAGTTTACGTCAGGTTCTTCGCCTCCTGATTGCGGATCCAAAGAAGATCTTTTGAGCCAGCCTAGCTCTTCATTATTAACACCCCAATCAAGTGTCCCAGATGGTGATCCCCATTTTGACAAAGATGAGCTCAGTGGTGAGCCCAAAGCAACCATTGTGCCCCCAGTACCAAGATCACGAGAGCTCAGGCCCAACAGAGTTGGCTGAAGTTGCTTCTCCCGCTGACTGAATGCTGCAGGACAGGAATACATTGGGGATATTGGCTCCACACTTCTAGGGGACAACCTTCCTGGTGATGATAACCCGAATGATGCCTGCAGGAAAGAGGATTGCCCAGGAAGTTGGTGATCCACAACCTTTTGAGAGTAAAACCCAGTATTTACTGTTGAAAGTATGCTCTGTTGCTGCTGCTGCTGAAAATGATTAACGTTAGAAGCCTTGAGTGAAGGAGAGAAAAGAGTTCCCTGCTCAGAGTTGTATCGAGGCGATGAGATCTCAGATGAAAAAAGGTCATCAAGGTTAGAAGGGCAAAGAATTTTTTGTCGGGTAACTCTATTGCTAGCTGAAGGAACAAGGCGAGAGACGCATAGATCCTTTACCAACTGCTGGGAATCAAAATCTTGCATCAAGGAGAACTCATCCTTTGGCATATCTCTTGCACTGAAAGAAGATCTCAGCCTGCTTGATTGCAAAATACTTCCAGGAAGGTGCAAGGCAGGCACATTTTGCTGTGGCCAATTAATTATGGAATGAGAATTGCCATTTGCGGAGGGCGACATAGGAGGTGTAAAAGGAGAGACAACTGCCGAAACAGAAGATGGAGAACTAGGCATGAGACCCATGGCTGCCATCTCCAAAGCTGATGATGACCTCGGAGAAGGCACGGCTGAACCAGTAGACATATATAATGGTCGAAGCTCTTCATTAGTGTGGGCAAAAAAACAAACCCTTCTTGAGCAGCTGGTCCCATCCTTGCACAATCTCGTGCGATACTGTGCTGGGTGAAGCCAACACTCAAACACCCCATGCGCATATTCACACATATCTGCCCTCCTGCAAGATCCCTTCCTGAAGTCGGGGCATGGGACACAACTGTAGTGATACTTCCTTGGGTCACGTCTCCTAGCATTTTCTCCAGGATGAACAAAGGGGCACTCAGTCCAGTCATGAGAGTATGCCCTCGAGCAAGGCCGGACCTTGAAGGAGAACATCCGGAACTCATCAGTAGCATAGATGCTGTTCTTGATGTCAGGTAGGGAAGGATCAATAGGATACTCTTTCTTCTCCTGAACTACAGTCGGTGGATTATCTTGAAATTTTCCATCCAAAGGAGATGAGGTGGAGTCAGAAAATGGTGACAAATCTTCCTCTGATGATGATGATAACAGAGGATAATTAGAATTGAAGGAGCTTGCAGAAACCCTGAGTGATCCACCATGATTATCCAGAACAATAGGACTAGGATTTCCAAGAAGCTTCTCAAGTGTAGCCTTGACATCAGAGAGCTTAGGAGGGACAATAATCAAATCACCGGGCCTATTACCTTGGGCGTCTTTACAGTTAGGGTCAGCACCAGCCAAAAGAAGGAACTTTACAGTCTCAACAGCATTCGCTGAACCACCAGAAGCAGCACAGTGAAGAGCGGTGGTTCTGTCAGATCCACAACAACGGTTGACATCGGCAGACGACAGGCTAAGAATCAATTTGAGAACGTCAATGCTGCCATAAGTGGCGGCAACCATCAGCGGAGTACGCTGCTCAACGACCTTTTTGCGGCCATACCAGTCACCGATTTCGTCGATGGCCAAGGGGAATCGATCAACGGATCGTTTGAATCCATCAACATCGTTGTTGGCCGCGAGTTCAAGAACGCTAGAAAAAGAGTCTTCCGTCTCTACCGTGAGGTGATTCATCGTTACTTCGAATGCGAAATTCGATTCCCCTTTGTGAAGATGAAGTAAAGAAAGGATATTTCAAAGATTATACCTCCTCAGGACCACCGCACGTGCTTCAGCTACGCGGAGAATTGCTTGGCTTCTATATAGAAGAAAAAAAAAGTAAATAAAGAGGAAGGGAAGCAACATGAAAAAGATAAAAAGACTAACTATATATATAATACACAAAGTCCGATTGATCTTAGGGAAACGATGAAATAGATATAAGATAGATGACTGGATTAAACGCAGCACACTCTCTAATCAAAGTTTGAAACTAGATTGAAATAGAGAGTTCCACAGCGCCGGTTCGCTTCAAACAAACTTCTTTCTGGAGAAAAATTGGGGGCTCCTGCGTACAAGATTGGGCTTGATGTATGAAAAAAAAAAGTTTATAAATTGTTCTTATAAATACCATTGTTCCATATCGAAAGAGAGAAACCAAATGGAATTGAAGAAAAGGCACAGATCCAACCGCAACAACGGCGGGCTGACGTTTATGAAATAATAGATAAATGCCACAAACTAATCCAAATAAGTAACCTATCACAAAACAATAACAAGTACGAGACCAGAGAGAAAAACATTACTAGCAAAGTATCAGAAAATTTCCCCCCGAAAAAAATCAGATAACTGAACTCACAATTTCAGGCAGATCAGCAGAGCAAGCGGCACCCCAATGAAAGCCGGCGTAGAACAGCCAGAAGAAGATCCAATCCTTCACCGGTCTAACCAAAACACAGCACAAGAAGCACGAGCTCCTCGAACGTCAAGCGACTGCATCGCAGAGATCGCCGCTTGCAGTCCATTGAACCAATAAAGCACACCAAGCGCAGTAGAAAGAAGAAGATAGATTGGGGAATCAGAACTTCTGTTCTGCGTATCGGAAATGAAGCAAAATGGGACTCCCTCGTAATCTGTAATGAATTTGGAGACCGGAAATTTAACTCTGTTGGCTACCGCCCTCTTTTCATTTCCACTGCTCCTGTGAGACGAAATCTGCTCGACATTAACCCTAAATTCACTCTACATGCAGATGAAATGCACAAAAAAGTTGACAGGATGAGCCGGTGGAAAGAGGGCGATTGACTGGTTAGGTGGGGTCGGATTACCGGCAGAGGGTGGGAAGACGGGGAAGGCGTGTTAATTCCAAGGGCTCTGCTGGATTGGAATCCGAAGTGGCGTCCGCGAATCTTGCGGTACCGGACTCCAAGCATCAGTCAATTATGATTTTGGAGGTAGGTCGATTCCACGGGTAAGTTGTTGGAAAAGATTTTGAGAAAGGAAGTGGACCCTGAAAATGTTGAACGGATGCTCGACGCGTCAGCATTTTAATTAAGAAAGTAGATGATTAGGATTAGAATTATTTTTAAGAAAAAAATGATGCTTAATTTAAATTAGTAATAAGACTATAATATTAAAAAATAAAAAGTAAAAAACAAATTAGTCAAACACTACTCTGCCACCTAGTCGAATCTCTGCCCAGCCATCAACTATCGCCGAACTTACACATGGTCACCAACTGATTCCAGATTTACACCCCGCCACTGATTGTTGTCAATCCTTCGACAACTGTCTCCTGATTGCATTCTTTCTGACCACCATTGCCCGTTGTTATGTTCTTTCTGGCCTATGTCGCCATACAATGACCTTTCTAATCACCGTAGAATACGGTCCTTTTGACCTCCATCGCCAAATAACATTCATTTTGACCTCCATCTTCAGACAACGATCTTTCTCACCATCTTTAGACAACAGTCTTTCTGAACATAGCCCCCCCCCCCCCTCCCCCCGACTACGGTTCTTCTGACATCGTAACCATACAACGGTGCTTATGACCTTTGTCGTCATACAACGGTCTTTCTAATCATAGTCGCATGTCGACTCCCGTCCTTTTGACCTCCATCGCCATACAACGGTATTATTACCATCATTTCTCGGCGACGGAGGTCAGATACTACAGTTCTTCTAACCTCCCTTGTCATACAATGGTCTTTCTGACCGTCGTCGCCCATTGACTACATTCCTTATGACATCCATCTTCATACAACGACCTTTTCGACCACTATCGCCTAATGTTTACGGTCTTTTCGACCATCTTTGCCAGACTAAGGTCTTTTCGATTTTCTTCGACTGCCGACTATAGTCCTTTCGGCCACCATCTCCTAACTACGATATTTCTGACCTCTGACACCTGACAATTGTCTTTCCAAGCACTATCGACCGACTACAATCTTTCCGACCTACATTGCTCACCAATTATAGTCATGCAGACCAAACAAACATCTCAACACAAATTCTTCCAACTCCCACTATGTAATGCGCTCTATATAATGTATATTGACTATATCGAGTCAAGGCCTTCCCCCTAAGCAAAAGCATTATTTGCAATCAACTACAAATATTAATGGATTCATTCAAACAGTGCCAAATCTCGTGATTTTTCTCATTTTAAAGGTTTTCCACGTAAAAATCTTTATGTCTCTTATGAACGCTATACATCTACTCTTTTATCTGTATGCGTACTGGATCACATATAAAACTAAGACATTAAATTTTATATTTTTTTACCGTCGCAAATATTTCAGGATACAACAATATTAAATTTAAATTTTCTTTTATTTTACTTTTAGGGTTTATTAAATGAATAGTATCTGAAGGAAAAAGAAATAATATAGACTTATATTGATAGTCTTTCTATTAACCTTTGGTTTCCACTTTCGATTTGAAATTATGAGTGTGATACAATACAAAAAAAATATATATATATTTAAAAATAATAATTCAATATAATCAGAAAATATCAAATGGATTGATTGCTTATTTTATCAATCATAATAAAATAATATATATTTATTTATCCGAGCAAGACTCTTTTTGAGGATTGAGAGCGTATCAAATAATATTTAGATAAATATTAAATTTAAATATTATATATATATCTCAATTTAATACTTATTATTATACTCATGAATAAGACAAGATGGTGCTGGAAAGGCGTATAAAATTATTATTAAGTTCTATATTTTAATATTATTGTTGTTTTATTTTATATTTTAATAATATTGTTACCATTATGCGGCATGCAATCCAAATATAATATTATTTATTCCCCCACGAAAAAAAAAAATGTATACATCTAATGTTATTTTATTTGCACGTCGAGGAATACAAATGCAGCCGGACAGGTGGCTTTGTTTCAATACAGAACAAATTTAAAAATAGCTCAATTATACGTTGACCTCTTTACAATAAAAGCGGGTCGGGTTCGGGTCGAACCCGGAATTGACCCGGCACTATTCGGGTCAACCCGAATCCGACCAATTTTTAAAAACGGGTCAGATTTCCGAACCCGAACCCGACCCGATTCAGGTCCGGGTCAAACCGACCCGACACGAATGACCCGAAGCTGACCTAAAATTGCTAATTTTTGGGTCAAAAATCGGGTCAATATTCGATTTTCGGGTCAAAATCAGGCTAATCTCGTGTTTTCGGGTCAAAAATGATTTTCGGGTCACTTTCGGGTCAATTTCGAGTTGCTAGGTCAACCCGAATCCGACCCGATTTTTAAAACGGTTTGATTTGTTCAACCCGAACACGAATTTTTTCGGGTCGGGTTCGGGTCGGGTTTTGGGTCGTGTCAAAAATTGACACCCCTATTGGGGGCCTGAAACTTATTTGAAAGATTCAAGGCCCAAAATTGGATGACCAAATTAGATCCAAATATGGCATGCATATAGTTGAATCGAGTGGCTAGGCGAGATGAATCCAACGAGCTTAATATCGTTGAATTCTGACATCATTAAGGCACTTTAAAACTTGACAAGCACTCTACAATCAAAGGGATCAGTATGGATCATTCAATGGAGCATTCCAAATCCCAGATCTTCTTTATATTTATGAGACATGTCACTCTAAAAAATATATAAATAGTCACCCACTCTATAAATGAAGAGGGACTTTTGGTTAGAGATTGGAGAGAACCTTTACGCTTCAAGAACTCCAGCACCATCGCCTGCGAACTTCCGTCGATAGTCGTCGGACTCCCGACCGGCCATCGTTGGACCATTGCCTAGCCACCATCCTTTGTTGGACTTCTACTTGATCGCTGACCGTCGCCAGACCCCTGCTCGGCCATCATCGAACCACTGCCCCGCCACCAACCACTACCGGGCTTAAACCCCGCCGCAAACCAAAGTCGGACTCCCGCTCAACCATCATTGGACCACCACCCGGCCATTGTTCGACCATCGCCCGGCCGCTGATCTCTATCAGACTTCCACACTACCACTAACTACCGCTAGACTCCCACCCTACTATCACCGAATCACCGACCGGCCACCGCCTCCAGTCGAATTTCAACTCAATTGTTTTCATACTTTTGCCCGACTGCCGTTGGACTTTCTACCAACTCTCCAAACTATTGTAATATCACCGTCTCTTACTTAAGAAACGGGTCAAACTTTATAACTCAGTAAAATCTAGTTGAATCTTTTCACCTCGGTGATGCCCCATGATTTTTCCTACATATAAATTATGATGTTTTTTTGTCCTTTCTTCAATTATCTGTTAGTATGCTAGATATTTATATATTATTAAGACGAAAAATTTACTCACTATATCAGTGCGAATATTTTTGCTTGTAATAATATTATTTTAAAATGATGAGCAATAAATTGTGAAGAATTTTAGTTTGAATTTAGAATCTAAAAAAAAAAAAATTAATAGAAGTATTGCTATTTTTTAGCTAAATCATAGGGTTTGGTATACTCAGCAAACATTTCTTGATATTAACTTTATGAATACTAACACGTATACAATCTTGATTAAGGCTTCTATTTAGGGCAGTAAATTTTTTTTGTTTTTGTTTTTGGTTTTAAATACTCATTTGTAAGCTATAATTTCAAGATTTTTTTTTAAAAAAATAACATTTTAAAAGTAGAAGATTGAAATAGCGGTAAAAAAAAATCTCTCCTAAGTACACATTATTTTTTTATTCACTACTTTTCTTATAAAAAAAGGATGAAAAAGTTGTTCTAATTAAGGATGTCAAAATTTGGAACAATTATTACGTCCTCTGATCGGACGTAGAGCTACGTTCGGCCGCCAATAACATGTCGCAACGTGCTCTTACTCTTTACCGCGCGGCCCGACGACTTGATCCGGAGCGGAACCCAGGAATGCTATGTTCGCGAGTTTCTCGGTATTGCTCGACATTTGCTTGGTATTGATAGGTATTGCTTTGCAAAAACGAGAAATACCGCTCTATGAAGACCAATACCATGCAAATACCGAGTTTTTCTACAACTCGGTACAACTCGGTATTTGCTCGGGATTTGCTCGGTATTGCTAGGGATTTGCAGCCTCCATCTCACGGGCAGCGGCTCTCAATCTGGTCCTCTCCCCCTCACGCTCTATCCCTCTCGGTTCCGGAGATCCCAGGCGAATCCCGACCTCTCCCTTCTCTCTCGGGTTCACGAGCTCCAGACGAGGCCGAGCTCCTCATCTTCTTCCTATTTTCCCGTGTAGAGGACCCTGACCGAGCACTCGTTTCCCCCTAGCTCCCGATTCCCCTTATTGGGACATCCAGGCGGAACCTCCCACCCGATCTCCTTCTCTCGCGTCCAGCTCTCCCTCTCCGGTCCTCCTCTGTCCGGATCAAGCCAGGAAGCCCGACGCCGGCCTCCCTGTTTCCTTTGTTCGCGGACGCCGACCGAAACCAAGGTCTGTCCGACCTCCAGGACCGAACCCGAGTCCACCTGGACCGACCCTGCTTCCCGCTCCCTCTCCATCGCCTGGAGATCAAGCCCGACACCTCCAAGCCCGTCCGACCTTTAAGGCTGAACCCGACGCCTCTTCCATTCTCGGCTTCGTGTGCCTAGACCGAACCCGACGCCTCCTTCTTCCTTGGAGCAGGTGATCTCTTCCCCCCTCTTCTTTTCATCCTCTACTCTTCTTCTTCTTGCTATTACGGATGACA